AAAAGTAAAGTAAATACTTTCAGATACTAAATGCATGGCCTTGCAGGAGGCAGAGTGGATGCAGCTCTTGATCTGAGACATATTTAGCTTAAGAAGGAAGCCATTTTTTTTTTTTCCTTTTTCTCCTCCTTTTCTGGAAATCTTTCTCAGAGGAGATTCTCTGGACAAAGTACATCTGCATTTTGAGAATATGCCTTTGAAGGTGTCGGTACCACCAGTTTATCTGCTACCACCACACCCACAGGCAGAAGGACCAGGACCTGCAGAAAAAGTCCACCCATTTATGTCCTTTATACAAAAAGAGTGTGAAGATTAAGATACAATTTCTCTCTTTTTTTTTGAGATAGAGTCTCGCTCTGTCACCCAGGCTGGAGGGCAGTGGCGAAATCTTGGCTCACTGCAACCTCCACCTCCCAGGTTCAAGTGATTCTCCTGCCTCAGCTTCCTGAGTAGCTGAGATTACAGGTGTGTGGCACCATGCCCAGTTAATTTTTATTTTATTTTATTTTATTTTTGAGAAGGAGGTTTGCTCCATCGCTCAGAAGCTGGAGTGCAGTGGAGCAATCTCAGTTCACTGCAACCTCTGCCTCACAGGTTCAAGCAATTCTCCAGTCTTAGCCTCCTGAGTAGCTGGGAATACAGATGCCTGCCACCATGCCTGGCTAATTTTTATATTTTTAGTAGAGATGGGGTTTCACCTTGCTGGTCAGGCTGGTCTTGAATTCCTGACCTCAGGTGATCCACTGTCTTGGCCTTCCAAAGTGCTGGGATTACAGGCGTGAGCCACCGCGCCCAGCCCTGTGTTTTTAGTCGAGATGGAGGTTTCACCACAGTGGTCAGGCTGGTCTCAAACTCCTTACCTCATGAGTCAAAGTGCTGGGATTACAGGCGTGAGTCAGCGTAACTGGCCAATTTCTCTTTTCTTGTCTTTAGAAGCCCTCCCTTGCCACAGAAACCAGCAATTTTTTCTTCAGAAATGGAAATATGGGCCACACTGTCCTGTCCTGTCCCTACCAAACCCAACCAGGACAGGACCTGTGACCACCCTTTAGTTCAAAGGTGGAACTTAGCTCTCATGAATGTCTTGAACCCCTCATACTTGATTCTGGCCTCGCCTTAGAGTTACATGAGGTACTTCATTAAAAAAAAAAAAATGGCCGGGCGCGGTGGCTCAAGCCTGTAATCCCAGCACTTTGGGAGGCCGAGGCGGGTGGATCACAAGGTCAAGAGATCGAGACCATCCTGGT